CAACCATAATTTACTAATCATAAAATCCAAATTTAAATTAAATCATCCATACTGAGATTGGAATGTATTCAAATAATAAAATATGTATTTAGTATAAAATTGTCATTTAAAAACATCAATACTGAAGTCAGATTAGCTCAGGGGAAACTGAGAATAATGGCACCTAAAAGTTATCACAAGAATAAAACACTGTATTTTTATTGGGAATCAAAATTTTTTTTATTAGGTAAGATTTCTTCTGTTTATGGTAATGGAAATTCACTTTGGTAAAAGAGTATAGAGAGAGACGGTGTAATCTATACACATTATTGTTTTTGTAGTTTAAAGCAGGTATTCCTAAATGTTTTTGTCAGCTAAACCTATTTGTTTTGATATTTACTTGATGTACCCCCTGAGATTTTAAAAAGTTTTTTTTGCAATACTTTCGCATGTTCACGGTTCTTTAATGATGGTTAATGGTCAACATACAGGTAGACAATTAAAAAAATATATTTATTTTAATTTAAAATTTTTATAAAAATATTTATTTTAATTTTACATTTTTATAATTTATTTAGTTGTTAGCTTTTCATCAACTCAAAAACCACCTGCAATTCCCTCAAGAACCACCAGGGGTTTGTAAAATCAAAAGGTCTTTGTAAAATCTTTGTAAAGAGACATCACTTGTGTTTCTGAAACCTAAATCAACGGTATACTGCAGCAAAAAACAGTCTTATGTTAGCATGTGGATATTTTGCTTATAATTCATTGAGCCCCATCGTTTTTATATTATTATACATAATTGTAAAATATATTATGTATAGTTTTAATATTTGTTTGCTCTTTTAATATTTTTTTAGGGTAAAGCAATGTGTGAAAGGGCAGGACTAAAGCCATAGGGATGCACATACGCCTACACAAAACAGCATAAATTATATTTTAGCCTTTTTTGCAGCATATAAAGCTGTGCTCTTTAAAATGAAATGCACTCGTTAAACGCTGAGAGCTCCACTTGTACTGATGTTCCTATCTTGTCAGTCTCTTTCTAGTTTGTAAACTTTATCAGTTACCTTTGAATTTCTCTTGGCTTTCTCTTAGCTTGGGCTCAGCTCCTTTCACCTCCTTTTCTTTTAATTGCCCTGTTCATGTGTCTGATTTCCCCTCGTCTTGCACCTCAGGGTGTCATCTGGCCTTTGTTCACCTGATCCAGGACGCGTGGCACCAATCAAGCACACAATGGTGCACACAATAGGGCCTGATGGGGGCCCATCCTCGCGCTGAGAGGCTCATTTGACACCTAGCTGCATGCAGGTTTCCCCTATAAACCAAGTGCTTTTCCAGATTAATTTACTGTTCTCTGCTAAAGCTTCAGAGCAGGGTGGAAGCCCCAGTGGATGCTAACCTTGACATCTGGCTTATGTTAGGTCAGGTTCAGCCAGAGCTGGGGCTGTAAGGAGGGGCCGATAGCCACCAATGCCTGTCATACCTGAATAGCTCATCCATGTGTTGAATTTCACTTGTCGAACATCTTGTCACAGATTGCTTGGGGTGTTTTTCTCTGAATGGACGCGTGCCGGGTGTCACCGATCTCTGTGCCATGACGCCCATTCATTTTTAACAGCAGCACAGATGAACTGTGGGTGGCCTCCACCTGCACACTTGTCCCTGTAAACACACGCGCCGTCCGGTGGGCTCGAACCACGACTGTCCGTCCTGTAATTTACGATCAAACGCAGGCGCTATCATGTATCATATAAAGTCCAGCGGAAGGGATGTGACGCATGCCACATTCACTGGACACTAGACAAAACGAAACAGTATCTCGCAATGAATGTGTTAAAGTTATTGTTCCAATTAGAGCAGATGAAAATGAGACGTAAACCTACGCCAGAACATTTACAGCATCAGTCATTGCTAATTCATGAAAAGCGAGCAAAAAAAGGTGCTCCTCATTTATTTTTTAGGATTATGTCGCATATTGTGGGCCAATATCAAAATACAATATGCACTTGACTTGACCAAAAGAAGATCGCTTTTCTGATCCAAAGGGAAAACATTACACTGTAATGAATGTAAGTACTGGCTTTTAGATGTCCTTCAAAAAGGGTAATTAATGTATTACCAGTCTAAAATGATGCACAGTGCACCTCATTAAACATTACACCTTCCACCCTCTCTGTCTAATGCTGCATAATCATTAACAGGAGTGGAACAAAGTGGAACATTTACAGTGACCCTAGAAAGTATTTGGACACTTAATTCACACTTAAACATATTTAAATATCATTAAATTGTATGGATGTATACATACAATACCGTATAAGATACAAATAAATAATATTTAAAAAATAGAAATGTCAACTTTTATCCTAATTTATAAATATATGTATTTATTAAGATAAAAAAATATTTTTTTTAGTTGCAAAGAATATATGTGAATATATGTATGTACTTCTTTTCTCAGAAGTCGCATTGGCTGAATGCTAAATGAATTCATATGCATGTAAAAAGGCTTAACAAATTTTGTCTAGCATCACTTGTTTCATAATAAAATTTTAAATTTATAAACAGTATTAATAATATCTGTCAGTGAGTATTTATTGACATTCAGGCTCTGCTTTAAAACACTGAAGTAAAATGAAACCGAGTTTGCCCAAAGAAAAGGACAAAATGAGAAAATTATTAAGCAACAATGGAAATAGAGAATGGAGAATCTTCCATATCTTGCTTTATATTTCACTTAAGCAAGACCCCACAAATGACTGACTATCTATTACTACAGTCATGGAAAATTTCACACATTTAAAGATGGCGTATGTTATATTTTAGCTGTACAAGACTTTTTAACCTCTTTTAACCTATTTAAACAAAAAATTTACTTAAATGAAAGAACAAATGTATTTGTAATGAGTTGTATTTTATTTTAGCATTATGAACTGTACTTTAATGGTTTCCCATACACCTTTAAAAATAAAACACAGCTAAAAAACTAGGAATACTTTTAAGCACCCTCTAGTATAAAGAGAGCACCCGTCTTGCACGGCACATTGTCTCAAGCTTCCTTAGACAGACTGTGTCTTATTGAAGGAACTACTGGAAATCCTTGCTTTGAGAAGTGTACTGTTTCAATAGGGAATTCCGTGAATCTACATATAATTGCGTCTGAAAAGCTCTATTTTCATCCAAACGTTGCAATGAGATAGTATCTCTGTGTGGATTGTGAAGGGGCCGGTCTTGTGAATGAAGAGCAATGATACTGCTCCTCAGAAGGAGGAGATGGTAAACAGCTTGAGTGGCACTTGTACATGCAGCGGTTCGCACACACACACACACACACACACTCCTGTTACTCATAAACAAATGAGGTGAGAAGTTTAACAAGCTACCTTGTCGTTCAAGAGGCTATTTTATTTGTTTGGGTGGCCATGAGAATTTCCTTCCCATTAATTTCCCTGAAAGAAACAACATCCGTGAGGTTCGCAGTGTAATGCAAATACAAAGCTAAAATCCTAAAGCTTGGGGAGATAATTGCAGGGTCTAATTAATTTTGATTTAATGAACGTATTGATGTGGAAATTGATTCTGATGCTTTTGAGATGAAGAGCAATTGTCAAATAACATTTGAGTTCTCCCAGCTTGGAACATGAAAATATTTTGCTCTAAAAGCCTTTTCTTACATTTACATGTACAGTATATGAAAACAATACCAGACACAAGTAATGAAGTACAGGAGATTTATTGAAATGGGTTGTACCGTCATTCTCACCCTTTTATATGGTAGCCACATAGACAAACACACTCAGATCTCTCTTCTATACTCATTCATGCCGCATGCCAAGAATGCAAAGACAGACGTATTACTTCCGGATGAATCATCAATAACTACATCTACGCAAAATATTTAACCACCTTATAGGAAAGTGTCACGTTGAGAAAAGTCCTCATCATAACTATGATTTTTCTAATACCGTAATCAAATTCTGAGGGTAAAATTCTATATTCTAAGTAGTGTTATTTACACACTATTGGAAATTCAAGTTTTTGGAGGAAATAGAGGAAAGTATTTTAAATGGAAGGACTGTCTGAGTATAAAACCCATATGATGCAGAATACTGAAAAACTGGTACAAACATATATATATTACATGATTTTGCAGCACCAGAGATTAATGTATAGAAGACACCTAACGGAAAAAAAAAGATATTCAATTATTTTTTTCGAACTTAACTGTGTTGATACTGTGGCTTTCATACGTTTTCTTTTTACTTTTGCCCTGCTACTATCCTTTATGGAGGAAAAACCCATTTTTTTCCCATTCTGATTTTTCAAGTCATAATGAAGCTATGTGAATTTATCTAAACCATCTGCAGGGGAAATAGCAGGAAAATAGCAGCATACAAACATAAAAAAATAGCTATAAACCTCTAAATATACAACATTAAAATGTTGAAAATCAAAGAGCAACAGCCAAGCAAGTAGCAAAAGGAAAGAAAATGCAAAAATAATAGGTAGTCTAAACACTGGGACCATTAATAAACCAATGGATATAAAAAAAGCCTACACATTAAAAATGATATGTCTTTATCATCAACTTAAAACCATGATGATCATTATACTGTGAATATTAGTGAAAGCAAACAATGTATCAGCATCATTTTAGTGCTAGGTAATATCTACACAGGAAAATCAACACTGTTTGTGATTACAGACATTGCCGATTGGTCAAAATACATTCAGCGTACCACACAGAATTGCTCTTGAGAGAGATGCATAGCAGTTCCAGTTCAATGAGACAAAACAGACAGGAGAAGCAAAGTGCTCAGCTGAATATGATCAATGTGAGTCAACACTTCTTATCCATCCGACAATAAGATCTACAACAAATCTTAAGCAAGTTTGAACCTTATTTGATCGAAAGCTCTTGAAAAAGATAAAAAAGACACAAAGTCCTGATATGAAAAATAGAGAGAGAAAAAAACACTTGCTAACTATATGTACTATAGCTAACTATATGTACTATAGCTAACTTTACTCTTCATCGTATAATTTTTCTGAATTTAATTAATTCAATTAAACATTTTTGGCCAGTGACAAATATAATGCAGAACAAAAAAAAAATCATTAATAAATAACATGCTCCTGGTTTAAATAACGTGAGCCTGGCATACAACATTTGTAAATGATTTGTAAATATAAGCTTTAACACGTTTATCCATATACAAAGGATAAACAATTTTGCACGTAAACAGAACTATATGGAAAAACTAGCTTCTGTCTGCTCACACAAAATGTCCTCAAAATGGCCTCATTTTTAGAAAACTGACATTAAACTAGAGTGTTTAACTAATGTCAGCACTGTTTAACACTGCACGTGGCACTGAATGATTTTAACATGAATAACCAATTACACACATGTAAACCTCTCCAAATACATAAAATGTAAGTAAATAAAACTCTAAATGAACAAAACAATAATAATTTACAGCTAGAATACATCACTTGCTCATTGTGACTGAATATTATAAAAGACGAGACTTCCTTTCCAGCAAAACTAACCAGCACAGTGTTTTAACCATGTTGTTAAGAAAAACTACTTCTGGGAAGCTTGCTGCAGAGCTATATACACAGAGAACTTATATACTTATTGTGTCTTAAAAATATCAAAAAGGGGTATTATGGCCTAAAGAATAGTTTCGTTCTTCACATGAAGGGCTAACATATTAAAATGGGTTATTTTACAGACAACAATCGTTCTAGTTTTCTCAAATGTACATTTTTAAGTATGCGGGGCGCACATGTACCACTGCTGTACAGTATTTCACTACACAGATGCTCCAGTGTAACAGCCCAGGGTGCAAAATATATGCGGAGTTACCAAGAATGATAGCCAATGTCATTTTCTCACTAGAAAAAATCAACACTATAAGAAGTGTCCTACAAGAAAAGTATTGCGAAAGCAGTACAATGTCAAAGAGTACTGCCTTGAATCTATAAAGCAATCTGTAAACAATTGTTCTTCAGCTAGTTTTTGTCTACATCGCTCATCACGAAACATGCTATACATTGTAATGAATCAAACCGACTGAAATATTTCCATAATGAGGCATCCAGACGTGCCAAATTAATCAGTTATTTGCTATGGTTTTAAATACGCATGGGCTAGACTTGCTCTGGTAAAATTAGAAATTAAAAAGGGGCTATATAATACTTATGTGCTTGATTGACTGACCGGCTAGCTTAAGTTTAATCAACAAACCTTTGATGTAGTCAACTGTAGGCAGCCCACACATTTTGACAGTCCTGCGGTACACTAAAGAAATTCAGCATCAGTACATTCCAGATCAACTGAAGGACATTCACAATGAAGTCTTTGGAGTCTGGATGCTCATTTCTACACGTCTGTCATCGCTGTATGTAACAGGCAGTTTGTTTTTAGACTTAAAAAGTGAACAGTGTTATTCACACATACACATTTGCTCATTGCAATCAAGCTCAAAATAAATATTGGTAGTGTAATTCTGAGTGTATTTTTTTTTTTATAGACATATGCTTTGAAAAAAAAGTACCAAAAGTTTTCAGTACCGACGTCTTGTAACGTATCAATATGGCACCAAACACATGCCAAAATCATGAGTCAAAAAAGTGACAGGAGAGTTACCCTGTCGAACCCAATATGCTCCGGTGCTAGAACATGCAGTAAACAATCACCTTTATGTCCCATGGTGCCATCCAAGTGTTTCCTTGCTTCACCACATTTTTGTGGTCAATTGATCTGGTACAGCTTTTGAAGTGTGAATTCAGTCACAGCAAATTAAAGGCCTCATATGGACAGTCCACCCAAGTGATCATCGCAAAACACAGTGAGAGTATTAAGTGCTCAATTCTGTTATACTGACTGAATCCAAAATAAAAGTCAACTTAAACACAGTTATTGTCAGTAAAAACATAACGTTGGTCTCCTCGCGCAAGATCACCGCTCTAAACTATGAATGGCTGCTTGTGAAGATTTTCAAAAACGTTTTACTCAAAGTATTAGTCAACAGCTCAAAAGATTCTTTAAAAAAAAATCAAAATAAAGTAATGGAAAAATCTAAAAAAGGGGGTTTGGCATCTCCACATTTAGTGCCCATCTTTCTTCACAATATATCCGGTTGTTCTTGCAAACCTAGAGTAACTTTATGGCAAGAAATCTGTCTGTGTGTGAACAAATACACTTGGCCTATCAGAAATGACATTCCATTGTCCTTTTGCAAGCAATACATATTTTGCCAGAAAACTGTTATAATATGCTTTGGAGATCCTTTACTTCTTTGAGATCTTCCCAGCTTTTCTCTTGGGCTCATAGGGTGTTCTCAGGATGCTGGGTGTCTCTTCCATTACCCTGACCAGCAAGTTATCAATGTAGTCCTCCAGCTCCCGAATATGAGCATCTTTCTTTCTCACCACCTCTTTCTGCTTGATGAGCTCTTGCACAACTTCTGCAAAGGAGAGATTGTTGTAGGCCACCATATTCGTCTGCAGATGTTCAGGCTCCTAGATGTGAGGAATAATACATGACATATGATTCTTAAATGTTGTTAAATCTCTACTTTTTTATTGCCCATAACATGCTGGGAATTCAAACTGCTCTCTGAAGTAAATAAATTGTGTACTTCTTTTGACCTATAATTTGATACTGTAAAATTTCCACTGTGAAACATGCTAATATGTTAATTGAAACACTGCACAATGTATACATGGATAAGCAATAATGCTACATACAGTAGTAGGTAGACTAATAATTCTGGGACTCCAAAGTAAACTAACGAAAAAAACATTCATATTTTAGGAGACAAGATCGAAATAAACATGTTATTTAATGCTGCCTTTAGAGCTTACTTGATAAACAAGCTTTTATTAAAAGTGTTGCTCTAAACGCTCAAGCCTCAGTTCTCTCAAGCAGAGCGATTATGTGTTGACATGAGAAGTGTCTGCGTCTGATTTCACAATGATATTGAGGAAACGGCAATTTAGAAACATTTGCTCATCTGCTATCAAGTGTCTGACAAATTCACACTTTCTGCTGTCAGGGTGAAAACAAGCACTAAATGCGGTCAGTTGATATAATCTCTTGGAGAGCTTATCCATTTCAGCGGTGTCAAAATATGAGTGGATTACTCAGTCATGTCTAATCACTGATGCTTAATTAATTACAATAAAACTTCCACCCAAAATCATCATCAACAATACACAGACCCGAAATTCATCTAATTACCAAACAATCCAAATAGCTCCAGAAATGAAGTACTTGCACCAAATCTACACTGATAAGGTTCTGTGTTAAAAGAATTAAATTTAAGACCTTGATACTTTTATAATATTATAATAAATATATAAGTCATTAAATAAGGTTTTAACTGGGGACTAAAACCTTTAAACAACATCGGTATGATTACTTCAAGTCTTCAACTGTGAATAGTTATTAGGGCTGGGCAACCGGTATGAAAAAAAAAAAAATAATTTTTCAAATTTCATGCCTCCAAAAACATTTTTACATCCTCAAATTTTGAAAAGTGAATTTAAGACATCTGAATATTTTGAGGGACCAGCCCTGTGTGATGATATAACACCATAAAAGTTATCTGTGTTTACATGTATAATACTAAATGGAAGATTAATAATAATCTGCATTCATTGCACTTGTTAAGAAAATAATACTTGGCAGGAGCAAGCCTCAACACATTTAACCTGAAGCTTCAGAGTCTGAACTGCTTCTGGGTTTGAACTTGATCCACCATATCGGACAGCTGTTTATACATGTGACACTTTGATTATGATTATCCTCCTTAGATTACGGTAATGAAAACAAAACATTCCTTCTCTTTTTCCCCTGAGGAAACAGCAGAGCAAATTTGACTCCATAAAACTGCCATTCTAGAAACTAAAGCAAAAATACAGTGGCCCTAAAAAGTATTTAGACACGTAAATCACGTGAATGTCATCGCATTAGACAACAAAATATAAAGTCAAGCAGAATTTATTTTAAATGAAAATGTACACTTTCCAAACAAAACATTTGCTGAATGAATCTATTGTTTAAAAATATGATTTATTGTTAAAAATGTAAGTAAAAGAGTATTTGGATGCTCTATGATTTTTGGTAGTGGAATTTTTTTCCTAGTCAATATGATAAACTACACCTGCAGTGAACCTGAAGGGAACTGACTTCATACATCCACAAAAAATAATCACAATTTCAAAACACCTTCCAAATTTGTTTGCTGATGCCACTTGCATGCAATAAACATTCATACATTTTTAGGTGTGCTTGCTGAGTTGAGTGTTTGGTAATGCTGGTCAACAGTCAACGCAAGCCAAAGCAACTCTCTCTGGCCATATAGAACAGCTACCACAGAATCAAAGGAAGATTTAGAGAAAGAGATGTTGCATGAATAGCAAAACCACCAGGGTACAAGCTAGCGGGGGCAGGAAAAGAGCCCAGGAAATGACCATGAACTGGCAAGCAGCTGATGAGCAGATTTAGGCAATCAGGAGTGTGGGAGAGATAAGATTTCCACTTGGCATTCTTCAGTTGTCTCATTATGGGCATTAATGAGGGCCTTTGCATTGAAAATCTAAAACTCCAAGTCCTTTGAAATGCCTCGGCCGACTTTCCCCCCACCCCCCATCCTTTAATTAAGGCCTTAGAGTGCCAGAGACACTATTTCACGGATGCAGTGTTAACATAACCTCAAAAATGGGTGAGGAAAGCCATTTTCAGCAACGCGTCTCCAGTTTCAACATCACTTCAGCGGCTATTCTCACACAGCAGGCAAGCGACCGTCACGTTACTCTGCACTGGACACGATGAAGATCACAATCAGTATAATTATGACAAAGTGAGAGAGGACCCCTTTCCATGTTTAACGCTGACCGTGGTTTGACCTATAGTGTAAAATTAGACCAGTGACAAATTGCGTATTATTAATGATTAGATTTCCAATTATTGAGTGAGAGAACATACTGTCCAAGATGGCTCGCTAACGAAATGGAAGCGCATTAATAACATCACACTACTTCAAATTACATGCAGATCAAAGACGATGACCACCCATTTCAGCTGTTAATTAGATAAACGGCCCTCCAACTAGAGCGCCACAAGTGATACTCAGTCAGAGATCAGCATCAACGGCTTCCATGTATAATAGGGCTGCAATAAATGACCAATTAAAACTTTGGGCAAGTTTTGAAAACTTATGAGAAATGTGTCTGGACAGACCGGACAGTGACAATGTGAAAATACACCCTTTTTTCAGCAATGTATAGAAATGTAAAATAATATTCTTATATTTAGTGTGGTCAAACGCAATTTAGCTTTATTACAATAGTGTAAAATATAAAAAAAAAACACAGTGTACACTATTTCTTTGGAATGCACTTACATGCTCTCTTGCACTATTCATGCCGTGCTTCTTTTCAGGAGAGGTTTTGAATCTCTGTGTAAGGTCCTCAGTACTAGTGGGATTTCTCATGTTGTCACTGCAAGACAGGAAAAAAGACAAAACTGTTACTTCAATAAATACATAAAATGCACTTTCATCTTACAGGAAACCCCTTCATTTAACATTCAAATTGATTTTACATTGGTGAAATCTTGGTCGACAACAACAAGCATTATCATGAAACACATCACATCCTTTAATGCAACTGCTACTTGCCTGCTGTAGTTCAATATAACATTTGAGTTGACTTTTAGTTATCTGACTGAGGGTCAGGAAATGGTTCAAAACCCCCTCACACGCAAACAGCAAGTCTACTTTTCATTTCTCAACAATTGGTCACTGACCACAACAAAGGCATTACAGCCAGTTACGGCACTCAGTAAGTGGGCGGTGAGACCAAAATCTTTTATCACATTATGAGCAATTTTATACCACAGTGACGGTATACGTATATATTTAAGCGTTTAAAAAATTTTGGGTGGAAAGTGTTTGAAAGAAGTCTATTCTGCTCACCAAGGCTGCATTTATTTGATCAAGTATACTACAGTAAAAGAATACAGTAAAAACTCTAATATTGTGAAATAATATTACAATTTAAAATAACTGTTTTCTATTTCTAAATAAAATTCAAATGTGATTTATTCCTGTAATGGCAAAACTGAATTTTCAGCAGTCATTACTCCAGTCTTTATAGTCACATGATCCTTCAGAAATCATTCTAATATGCTGATTTAGTTCTCAAGAAACATATCCTATTATTAGTAATTTTGAAAACAGTTGTGTTGCTTAATATTTTTGTGGAAACCGTGTTTTCAGGACTCTTTGATGAGTATATTAAGCCTTAAAAAAGCATTTATTTAAAGTAGATCTATCGAATTTTAGCATTGTTAACGTCTTTACTGTCAATTTTGATCAATTAAATGACCCTTACTGTTAGCATTTCTCTCTGAAAAAAAAAAAAAAATCTCACTGAACCCAAACGTTTGAACAGTAGTTTATATTATATGCAATGTACTAATGTCTATTAGACAATCTAGTAGCATAAATATATTTATAAAATTATTATTATTAAAAATTCTAAAGCATTTTTTAAAAATAATATAAAATTATTATTTTAAACAACATTTTAATAAAAATACACATAGCAAGTGAATAAGTTATCTACATTGACAATGCTTGTCTGTTATAATATAGATAGTCTGATGTTGAATTTTCTTTTTGATCATAACAGGAAATTTGGAAATTCAACCGGCTGACACATTTCTTCCACCCATACCACAGCCATTACACACCACTGCAACTTGCAAGAAAATAAACTGACTTTATGCTTATATGGGCGTACTGTTATGAGTGGTGTTTCAATCTTTTAATGACAAAGTATTGTGAATGGATGGGATCCATCAAGGATGCTGGTTATGTTTATAATGGTGGAAAGATCACACAGACCTTTAAATACTAGACAACATTAAGCAGGTTTGTTAAATGTCTTTTTAGCTAACCTATGACCCCTGGAAGACCTGTGATCTAAGATGAGAGAGTAACTGGAGAGGATGAATGGCCTGGTAGGCTACGGGCAGATAAATTGTTAATTGAATGGTCTATCTCTCGTTCAGATCTCATTACTGTGGCTTGGTCAGGACCCTGTAGTCTGAATTGGGCCTAATGACATTGATAAGGTCTTCCTAATGACAGACTTTCTCTGATAAACATTAAGTGCTTGACTGTCCTCATCTAACTCTACTGAGAAAAGAGCAGAGGTTGGAAATGGCAGGCAAAATTAATGGAAGACACGTTCCTCAGCAATTATTGCTGAATGAATAATATTATTATACATCACATAATGCATTTAAATACAATTAAAATAAATATAATACTTAAGCATTTATTCAAATAAATATTTTACATATATTATTACAACTTAATTTTTTTCTTATTTATTTTTCCTCATTAAACATTACTGATAAATGCTAATGGCATCTGACCTCAAGTAAGTGAGACGAAAGCTTGATTAAAGTAGCTATAACGTATAAAAGGCACAAAAAAATGGCTAAAAACTAGTCATACCTGGATCTGTAGTGTGAGAGGAAAGGGTTGCTTTCACTGGTAAAGGGGTTTGGAGATCGCAGGTCTCCAGAGCTTCCTGTTCGCGTTCCAGTGGCTGTTTTCTTTCCTTCCTTCTTCCCAGTCACTCTGCCCAGAAGACCGACCTTCTTCTCTCTCTTCTCTGCCCCCCACAGCATCCCCTGATCTCCCTCGAAGGGATTGCGGTTGCGTGGGAGAGTGGCGAATTTCTGGGGCATGTTGTCTCCGATGTCGGAAAAGGGGTCACATTGAACGTCGCTGGTTGGGCAACCATATCCATCACTCTGAGAGTGTCTGTGAGATGCAGCAACCCCTGTGGATGAGAAAGATGGAACATTTTCTTTAGCGCTTCTCCATAGAGCGCTGCAGGGATGAGGCATTTTTGTAGGCCGAAACCCAGAGATGCGTTAGCATTTTAGCACGTTTCATTATCCTGAAGGCAATGGGTTTTTGGTTGCTTGAAATAATGTCTGTGGATAACACAAGCTCAAGATATTTTCACATTTTATTCTACAAAATAAAATACATCAGTAATGACCCCTAAGCTTTTAACTCACTAAGTGATTAAATGGAACTACAGTGGTTGTTTATCCTCACCTTTCTCCTCAATAGAGTTCATGGAGTCGAGTTTGGGCCTGAAGTGAGTTCCTATCAGATCAGACATGGAGTGAGCAGCAGAAAGTTTCTGCGTCCCAGTGAGCAGCGAGCGTTTTGGCTTGGGTTCAGGTGCAGCCTGAGGGTGAGGGTGCGGGTGCTGGTCTGGCAGAGAATCAGTCTCGCTCTGTCCTGAGCGAGGAAGGATGGCGGAAGATGTGTCTGAAAAGGCACCGTTGTGCTTGCGACCCTTCATCTTTTCCTTGAGCTTGGAGAACGGTGATCTGGGTTTGTCTCGCATAGACAAATCGAACATGCTGGCGGTCATGTTGTTCCGCATGAACTGAATGCTAACTTGAATCTTGCCTCGGTCTTTCCTCTTCTTACCTGGCCGTGAGTCTAGCGTGTACCAGCTGACAAGAGAGCGACATGAAGTATAAGTATATATATTTAATAAAACGTCAGAAATTCAGAAAGGCAGGTATAACAGTAAGAAATTAAAATGTCACTTAGATGGACTGGGATACAACTTATTTTTCAATCGACTTTATTTATTTATTGATTCTTCACATCTTTTGTTGTTCACAGAGTTTATTTTCTGTAAAAATCCAAAAGTCAGTGGAAAAATCTGTTTTTGTTGAGGGAATCGGGGTGATGCTAACTTACTGGATTTTTACTGGAAATTTCCAGTTTCCAATTTTCCAGTGAACACAATCTCTGCACAAAGGTCATGTGTAGTCAAGTGTACTAGATTATCTATTTAGATAGAGTGGGAGAAAAAAAAAAAAAAAAAAAAAGAGTAAAAAAAAAAAAGTAATTTGAGAAAAAAAAACTTTGAAAAGTTTGTAAATTCAAATCATATTTAAATTCTGAACACAGCTGCTACAGAGCTACACATATTTTGCCGTTGTGTCACGAGCGTGGTTGGCCTCTTAGGTGTTATTAAAAACAGCTAGGTTGGTGGTACATGCACCAGTAATTTGCAGATGTTCCAGTGTACTTTCACAGCTTGATAAAAACAAGCAGGAGAAAACCGCACACTTTCACTTCTCCTTTTCTGTGAAACCCCCCTTGGTGGGAAGACTCTCTTTCAGGCTTTGCTCTGTATGTATAATTCATACAAAAACGACATGGGGGCAATGTGTTTGTCTGGCCAGAAACCCAATTTCACTTCACACAAATCCACAGCATAGTCCATTTGAAAGCCTTCCCCCTTCCTGAGAACGCATATTATAGTAGGGATAAATATAATTCCCTGGTAACTGCAAAGGTTTGGGCCACATAAAGAATGTGAAGTAATACGCCCCCATCTAGGCCATTCCTCGGCTCCTGTTTATTTAACCTCTTACTCTTTTTTTTTTTTTTATGCTGGACGTAATGTGATTGATGCTGTAACTGTGTGAAAAGGAGGTGGCATTTGCACAAATCTGGCCTTTGTTCATTGATGCTCATACCGGTATTTGGAGATTATGAAATGGACAATATTTCAGCGGAGGCACATGAATCTCAATAGTGGCTGAATACTGATGCTCCTGCAATTCAAGACACTTGGAGCAGGATCATTAATTTAGAAATGATGGTCATGAACACTTAAGGCATAGGTAAAGTACTAGACAGAGACTTTTATTCAATACAGGGCCAATGTGTTCAGTGAGCGGATGCCATACACCATTTTACACCACCATAGCCAAATGTATGGTGGAAACCCCTATTTCCAAAAGATATTGTTAATTACAGATTTTTTTTCATTGATGTCAGTCAACATTAGGGGTGGGAATCGCAGGGTACCTCACGATACGATACGAATCACGATACATGGCTCACGATAAGATAATATCACGGTACAGCGATTCTGCGATAATCGATATGTTGCTAGACAATTCTATAATGATACATCACGGTATCTGTCTAACTATGAAAACAAAATGCCTGTGAAAAGGTTAAGTGCAAGTTTTCTCTCTTTATTCAAGTCCAAACTGTTAGAAAGCAGCACAAAAGTTCTGTAAATCAAATTTAACATGCTAAGGAAATTAATCATTTTATTCTTGGACTTATTAAAGCTTACACGTTTCTTTGTGTGTAAACCAACACATTTAACTGCTTATCAACTTTATATATAGCCTATATATAAACCTGGTACATTTCAAAATTTACCTGGAGTGCTTTCTCAACCTTTCCTCTCCTCTCATCATAAAAACAGAGCCCCCTGATGTAGTAAAATAACTAAATCTAACTGAAATAAAAATGAATAAAAACCATATAGAGAAATAAATAAATAAATAAAAATGACAAAAACACACCAACAAATATATATACTAAAACTTTAAAAATAAGATGAAAGCGGGAAATTAGTGAAAACTATAATGAACAATAACAGGTACTGCACTGATTAACTGTATAATTTATGTAATTTTATTATGTAAATGTATTGTTATGGTTATAATTATTATTATTGTCATACTTATTACTTTTTATACATTATTTTTCTACTTATACATATTATTTTACTACTACTCTCTACAATTATTTTAAATTATTATATATGTTCAGGTGGAAAAGTTGTAATCATTCTGTACTTTGTGTTGCTCCTTTGAATAGTAGAAAAAAATAAGAAGAAGTAGAAGAATTTAATAAGACTGTTAAACATAATATTTAGCAAATGTACTTGTAGTACTAACTTGCATTGTTTAAACTGACTGATTTTAGTATTTTGCAATTTATTAAGACAGAATGATATAAAAATTTGATACTGGCCTAACATGAAAATAATTATTGGTGTATCTGTATGTAGACTTGTAGAATGTGACTCATTATTTTTGCAAAACATCACCCGGGACCTTTCTTGACCTCAGCACTAATTAAAAAGACACTCTGTAGACTCACAAAGCAGCCCTCTAGAATGCAGTTCAATGCTTCCGACCTAGACACAGTTCTTTCATGCAAACACTACTGTAAACACTCCTTCAGTAATGGAACACGCTTCCCTCTGGGGTCGTCACAGGCTGCCATCTTGCTGAGTGCTCTTCTTCCATCATGGCACAGCTAGTGAATGGTGATTATGTTTCTTTCCAAGACCATCCACACACTGGGGAGCTTGTAGATCCGAGGGAAGAGGGTTTACTTGGTCTCAGGCCCAGTGAGGGAGCTCTGATCTGGGCATGTGGAAAGCCAGCCAGCCCCTGTTCTTCACATGGGACTCAAGGCCAAGATAAATCTTCCTCTGCCTGGAACCACAACACTCCCACTCTGCGAGGGCCGCTGGGAACCACCATACAATCAACAAACACAGGTGTGCGATAATTAGGGCCTGTCGACTCCAATGTCGAAACGGACTCTTGTACCCTTGCGTCAGTTAGAGGAAACCCTTGAATGAACAGAGTCAATGGGGACTGCTAACCCTGAGAGTCTTTCCAGGAGACGCGAGGTCGGTAGAGTGATTTGTGTCACGAGTGTCAACAGTGATGTTAGCAATCGGTTACAGTACATAACTTCCCCCCAAGGGTGTGATATCACAGGATTGCTGAATAAATAATGCTTGCACTGATTGTGACATATTGCCAATGATTAGAAGCTTGGAGGAAAAGTAAGGAAGCATCGATAATAATAGTCTAAATACCAATAAGCCGATAATTATGCACAATGAAATAGACTATACATCCAATATCAGCCTATAACTGATATTGTACCAATTGTGCATTACAGGAGAGGATCTCCAGTGTAAAACACATGTAAATAAAAAGCAAATTGCAGTATTCTTAAAAACGACCTTTTTGTAATTGATTTCTGTCATTTACCGCATTCATTAATGCCAGCCAGGTATGCAAGACATTGGCACTGCCCTTTCTACTGCAACTAGCCATACTTGTTTCTCTCATAATACTCAAATAACCATGCTAGTCTCATGCCCAAAAAAGTGAAATCAGGAAATATTGTCTCGCTTATGAAGTAGTCTTGACATTTAGTTACAGAAAGTAGTCTCTGTCACACCTGACAATAACATTAGAGGAAGTCAGAAGACTTCCTCTAAGGAAACACACCTGTTAGTCACCAGGGCCTGACAAACAGAGAGGAAAATATAATAGCACACATGATAATCATCCTCACTAGACCTGTTCATCTGCCACATGATTGTGACTCAAACTGAGTCAAAAGGCCTTTATCTGAGTTTCATACCAGAACAAACTGGCCTGCATGAGATGGCTGCCCTTCTATAGTAATGCACAGCAATGGCATGTTCATAGACATTTAAAACTCAGATGACAGGTTTTAAAAACAAAGACAGGGTTACGTCAGAGGATTACTTCAAATGAAACTGCATCACTAATAGTTACAGAAGTTAAGAATAGCCCAGGTCGTTCAAAACCTTCCATCATGTTATACTTTGAGTACTATTAACTGACTTGGCTTCAAAATGTTGACAAGCATTAAACACAGGGGTCTATGCAGGATGATATGTCAGAGCGAGACTTTGAGGTCTGCTCTTAAATAATCAAAAATTCTAGTTAAAAAGAAAAGAGAGAGAGAGAAGAAAGGCCTGTGATTTAAAAGAATCTTGAGGATTGCATAAATACAATTTAAACAAAATTTCTTAACTGTAACACCAAAAGAGGAGAAGACATTTAGTGTTTGGTTCCTCTTTTAAGTTGCACTTCTGCTTATTTGAAAGAGTGCTACATTTGTATAGTTCTACAAGACTTTTGATAGATCTTTAAAAGATCAGGCATCAAAAATGAATGAAATATTTAACTCACTCAGTTTTCCTCCGTTCCTTGTTGTCAAATATCTCATTTAAGTTGATGATTTTTTGGCCCAGAAACTTATCCAATCCAACCAGGGACCTGTGCATGACTGTGAGGCACAGCTCATACACCTCTGGATTGCTCTCCATCAGCAGCCCTGGCAGTTCAAATGAAGCCTCTTCCCTCCACACTGGGCTGAGGGTCTTCTCCGACACTGATGTGGAGTACTTTTCTTTGCCCAGCTGGATGATGGTGTAGGCATCGTTGGTGCCATTCTTGCCCTTTGGTTGCAGGTCTGTGGCTTGAAGAACAGTGGCTTGGACATGAGTTGGAAACCACTTCTGTGACTGTTCGCCCAATGACATGATGACTTCAAGTGTAAAATTATGGATTTTGGTGTGTGAAATGATAAGTGTATTACTTCAATTTGGCCGAGGCATTTTGTTTAGCTTCTAATCACAGGAAATGAGCGACCAAGAGTACATAAAAATCAAAAGTTACTCTCCGCAAACACCCCACACATTCACCCCACTCCAATTTAGGTCACCTAAACCAAAGAAGAAAAAAAACAGTCTCAGAAAAATAATATTAAAACTTAAATTCATATTACAAATTACACAGAAATAACAATTGTAACTTAAAAACGAGTGACTTTAACAATGCAACAAACTTAAAAAGTTAAATTGTAAAAAAAAAAAAAATGTTTTTGGGAAAGTGATTTTTTCTTTCTGACCAATTTTACCATGGTGACCAGGGAGTCTGTTTTTTTTGGGTTTTTTTGCTATATGTATCTAAAACTTACATATATTATTCACATATGTATTTGTTAAAAATTAAAGTAGTTTAACACAAATAGTAAACTGCATAAATTAATGTCAAGTACTACATATGCTGCAACTTACACTACTGGGATGGACTGTAACTTAATTTGAAAACATGTTAGAAAAATGTCCATGAATTTATTGTGGTAATCAAATTGTTCAAAATATTAACTATGTCCAATAACCCTAATTTAATTTTAAAATGTTTAATTAAAAATGGTAAACATATAAAAACACTGTCATTCAGAAAAGAAAAGAAAATTATCTATGTAGCTTATACAACGTCGCACTATTATTATTTTTTATGTATGAAAAAGTGCGAGGCTTATACTTTATAGAAGCTGGTGATTCAAATAAACACCAGTTTTATCATTTAACATTCAATTTATAATCGAGACATACAATTTTACTAGGATATTATTATTATAGTGTTGTTGTTGTTAATAAGGATTATTGTTATTTATCTAAATTCATTTAGGCCTATTTTGCTCTGTAAATATTTTATATCTCAAAACACCGACATTTACAACTTTTACTTTTACTTTTACCTCAGGAGGGTGGTCATGGGTTAAACTCAACCAGTATTTAATGAAAAAAAAAAAACACTCCGCGGTCTTCCCTTATTTAATTCAATTAGAAGCTCCACTGCTGGCTTCATTACCCACAGTTACTGCTGCTGTCAAACAGTCATACAGCACAAGCCTCTGATATTTACCTCTGAAGCATCTTTCTCGAACAAGCTAGCGTCGCCACTGCATGTGGGATGACCGCTTATGCCAATCGGTATCTGTGGTGAATGAAAATGAATAAGTTGCTGTAAGTGACACTAATTCATCTTAAACAAATGTGTGGTATTCCACATCAGCCCTGAAGTCGACTTCCTAGTTCCTCATTTCCGCCGATGTGGTCACGGGTCGAAGTGCAAACTCCTCCTCTGTTGCCGTGGAAAGACAGGATTTAATCGGCGCGCGCCTGGCGCTGTTCCTGGGATTCGAATGACTGCGAGGCTTATGAGAGTTTGAGCAGTTCGTTTCCCTTTTGTTGTTAGTTTTGTCGAGAAAAAGAAACAGGAAAGTAATAAACAGCCTGTTTGTAAAACATTGCATTGCTATTTAGAATAATAAAAAAATGGGTCAAACAATTAATTATAAAACACGAGTAACCTTACATGATACATTTTTTAGATAACTTGGATAAATGTTTCATATAAATGACCTATATATAAAATCATGTAGTACATAATCAATAGTATTCGTTTTTATTTTTATTAGCAGGTCGCTCATCAGTAATAGCAATGGAGGGAAAAAGAATGAAAAAAGGGCTGTATTAAATATAGCCTATGTGACCATGGACCACAAAACCAGTCATAAGTAGCACAGGCATATTTGTAGCAAAAGCCAATAATACATTGTATGGGTCAAAATGATCGATTGTTCATTTATGCCAAAAATCATTATTAAGTAAAGATCATGTTCCATGAGGATATTTTGTAAATTTCCTACTGTAAATATATCAAAATGTAATTTTTGATTAGTAGCCTAATATGCATTGCTAAGAACTTCATTTGGACAACTTTAAAGGCGATTTTCTCAATATTTTGATTTTTTTTGCACCCTCAGATTCCAGATTTTCAAATTGTTGTATCTCAGCTAAATATTGTCCTATCCTAACAAACTATACATTAATGGAAATCTTATTTATTTAGCTTTCAAATATAATATAATAATATGATATGTAAATGTCAATTTAAAAAAATTGACACTTATGACTGGTTTTGTGGTCCAGGGTCACATAGCCTAACATAATGGAAAAATATATAATTATAGCATATATAATTAATGCATCAGAAGGTTAATTACTTCAGAATGGAAACAGAGAATCCAATTTAACAAAAGCTGCATAAATTGTGGAAAACAAATAAAATGTAGAAGGAAGATCAAAATCTCCTCTCTGAAATAGTGAATGGAGTCCCATGCAGGCTATCTGGGATTCTTATAATGTCCACTCAATAAAGTCAATACATGTCTATTGGAGGCTCTTGACAAAACTAAACCAACCAAACATGTTAACATACCGTCTGCCAATGTTTCTTGAGTGAGGACATTGAGGTACTGATAAGAGATTCATTTAAATGAGTACAGACATGTGTGTCATCCCAGTTGACAGGTACATCTTAACCAAACACACATGCTCTTTCATTTTATTCTCTTTCTCTCTCCTTAACCCCAATCAGCCTGCCATAACCGCAGAGTGTTGTGTACATACCAGAGTCAGAGGCATGAGTCTGGCACATTCGTCACACATAGATTATAACTCTTATCTGCAGTGTATCTCACGATGAAAATGGGCCTGGTGTGGTGAAATATTAGGTTATATAAAATGCATTTAAGACAGCTTAAACTGAGGAGGGGCCCTTCTATGTGCCATTTCGAGTTAAGCCTCACTGCAAACACCAGGAAACAGCTGAGGAACCAGAGCAGAAGAATCTCCCTGAAGATAGCTGTATGGTCCTTTCACGGAGCAATGAAACAATGTTTAATTGATGTATGTATATAGTTGTTCCTTGTTTGTATCACTCCGCTGTTTATTTTTACGCACTGCAGACAGACTATCTGTATATTAGTGGTGGACTTTTTTTCAGCTACTCTTTCTGCAGGTTACATTGTTATGTCAGTAGGTGGCGATAAATCTTTATAACGAGTGAGCCAATTGAATCATTCACTGAAATGATTTGTTCAAAAACGCGAATTCATTCAAGAACTAAAGCTATTACAGATTTATTCAGGAATGCAACAAGTGACTGTCTTTATGAATGAGTCACTGAATCATTTACTCATTCAGAAACAAAACACTGCAACACTGTCTTGTGGGAAGTGCTTCGACATGCAGCCAACACTCGTGTTTTCTCAGCAATGCCATAACAGAACCATTTTGGGCTCCCCAAAGATATATCAGTGAAAAGCTCTTAATAAAAACTTTTTTTCTTACTGTGAAGAATATTTAAATAAACCTTTTGTGCAATGAAAAGTTCTCATGGATGTTAAACGTTCTTCATTAACCCATAGATGCCAATTAGAAACCTTTATTTTTAAGAATGTTGTTGCGCTTCAGTTCACCCTGACTTCGAACCTCCACTTGTGATATTTTCCGATCCCATATGTACTTTACTTCTTGTCAGCTTTCTAACTATCCTATCTGAATAAATGCCAAAAATAATAGTAGTCATAATCAAAAACACCACTACTGTATGTTACACCATTTCTGTTGTGGCTTTGTTTGGAACTATTTTCACTGGCAGAGACAAAATAAAGATAGATATAGGAAAGAATAAAGTTTTTTCCTCTCTATTCCATAAATTTAGCTCTCAATTTTGCACTGTTCAGTTCTAAAGAATCTCATGGGGTGGAAGAGGCTCATGGCTTTAAAGAGACACCACCAGGGGTCATGACACCAATCCTTAATTTGACAATTTGTTAGACACTTTCATGTATTACCTTCTAAGACCAAAATACGCCCGTGTGCCTCTGGAGTGGGATAAAAACATGAAAGGCTCTACATTCCAACCTCACCTGCTTCCTTTTATTGTTCTCCTCTGATAGAGTATATAAAGGGAAAAAAATCCATCAAGTCATAAATTAGCCTAGAGTAACGTATGGCCTCAGTCCACTTTTCCAGAGGAATGATGTTGTAGCCCATAAACTGTCCAATATACAACAGGACCCTGTATTGCATATCAGTAAGGCCCACGTGTTGGCCTCTATTAGGCATCATCTTTATGGGCCCGAATCCTCTGTAAGGTCTCTCGCCACGGTCAGACAGCTGGTTCTGCTTTAGGCCCCTTTCTTCAACACTATATAGGTTGTTTTACATTTATTAAACACTTTTAAGCATCTCTAGCTGCAAGATTGCCCATCTGTTAGCACACAACAATATATGCGTTCCAAGTGCCGAGGGAGCACGAGAAGGTGAGGGGATGCCATTGTAACATCAATACGGCTCATAATGCACTTCAGGTTTACGGTCGGGTTGCGAGATTGATTTAAAAGGCTGTGCTTTTAGTCAAGAGGACATTCAGATTACAGATGAAAATTTAATAATAAAAAAAGTAGGAGAGAAGAGCACAAATCACTGCCGGCGCTGCGCTCTGTGGAATGTTAGGGTGTGCAATGCACGGTGAGATATAGATCTGCAGATGTGCATGTTGCCTGCGACGGCTGGAGCAGAAATTGTTGGGGGCGTGCGGCTGCCGAAAGGTCCATTGTGTGGAACAATACTTCAAGAGTGTTTATTTGAGTATCACTAAAGGCTATAACCTCTCACCTCTTCATAGCCGACTGTCACAGAAGTTAGGAAGTTGCACTTTGAACATCGAGAAAACCTCTGAGGCCAAATCATAAACGGTGATGGGTTTGAAAAAAATGTTACATTGTCAAAAGTAACATTAAGATGTTTTATGAGAACACATTTCTCTTATCTTATCTTGTGTCAGCACAAATTCTCTTTATGATGCAACTGTGTGTGTGTGTGTGTGTGTGTGTGTGTGTGTGTGTGTGTGTGTGTGTGTGTGTGTGTGCATTCATATGTCTGTCTGAATAATCACAAGAGGATATTGAGGTTACCAGATATTTTATGACTACAATCAAATGACAGTAAATGGAACAACAAAATAAAACATTGTCATTTTTGGAATTTTCACAGAGAAGCACAAAACTGCTACCGGTATCATACAGTCGAGTTATGCTTATTTAACGATGCTGAGCATTGTGAACTGGCAAGCAAGTCATTTGCAAATGTAAACATACAGTCGGTATGTTGTAAGGTAAACACTATGAAGTAAGCAAGTTATAGCATTTGCCAAAGTGTATTCTATCTGCATTCCACTGCATGAGTCGAGTGCTGCTTTTGAACGCTGTTCTGTAAGCATGAGAGGATGTGCAGACCAGGGATATGACAAACAAATTAAACAAATGAGAGTGATTAAAACAGCTGGATCCACAAATGGCATGACCAATTCAGGGAATTATGGAGGCAAATGCATGCAATTATAGCAAATGAAGTACACCCACTTTGCGCTACTCAGATGTTGCATTAATTTGAATGGTCTGTTTCTGCTGTGCAATTCATATTACATTAAATTAGCAATAGAATCCCCTGTGTCCTTCTGCTGTAATTCAGCTGAAGTCTTCATAAAGCTCTTCTCTCCAAAGCAAATAATTTGCAGTCGGAGATCATCATGTCGAAATCCTCAAATGGCATTGCATTTCATAATATTATTGGGAAATTTGGAAAGAACACTAATTAGGTTGGTTTTTAGGTGTTATGATATTCTTATCATTTTATGAAAACAAATTTTGGCTTTCAAAGTGATTTTGTAATTGTTGGGAGTTTACCAAAGTTTTATTTGATTTATGGATAAACTTGAAGTTTCTTTTCAAGACAAGAAACTGGGGAAGAGAAGGGGGATGGGAACAGAACATTCCACCAAAGGTTTTAATTTTATATTAATTTATATTAATATTTAATTAAATATATCCCTGAGTAACAAGTAAAGATGACTATTTTCCTTTTTTTTTTAATTCCACGTTAACTGATATTTTTTATATACGTATCAGTTAATGTGGAATTAAAAAGGAAAAAAAAAGAAAAAAGTAGTAACCTCCTCTTGTTACCTCGAGGATATTTTTCTACACAGTCTAATCCATTAACTGCTGAACTACTGTAAACTAATTTTCCAAGTTAATTTAGTCAGATGAAACATTTTTGACTCAAATTAAACCCATTTAATTTACTTGTTACCACATGAAACACATTTTTAAGTTATATGAAAAACACTTCCCTCTCGTTTCAAACTGGTCTTTGCACTACAGAATCTTTTCGATTGTAAAGCATGTCTAAACGTCTCATGTTTTTACCCAGTCATTCCATTCTCAATGAGTGAGTGAATGAT